TTCTAGGCCACTCAGTTTAGGAGGGATATTGAGGGGCTGGAGCAGGTCCAGAGAAGGGCAACGAGGCTGGGGAAGGGTCTGGAGCACAAGTGCTGTGAGGAGCAGCTGAGGGAGCTGGGGGGGCTCAGCCTGGAGAGGAGGAGGCTCAGGGGAGACCTTCTCACTCTCTGCAACTCCCTGACAGGAGGGGGCAGCCGGGGGGGGTCGGGCTCTGCTCCCAGGAACCAGCAGTAGGACAAGAGGGCACAGCCTTGAGCTGCCCCAGGGCAGGTTTAGGTTGGACATTGGGAAGAAGTTCTTCCCAGAGAGAGGGATCAGCCCTTGGAATGGGCTGCCCAGGGAGGGGGTGCAGTCACCATCCCTGGAGGTGTTTGAGCAGAGCCTGGATGTGGCATCAGTGCCATGGTCTGGGTGACAAGGTGGGGTTGGGTCACGGGTTGGACTGGATGATCTCAGAGGTCTTTTCCAACCTGGCTCATTCTGTGATTCTGTGATTCTGTCTCTTACCCAGATGCCTGAGCTCAGCTCCTCTGATGAACCCTCAGCACAGGACAACAGAATCAATGAGGTTGAAAAAGACCTCCAAGGCTGTGTGAGTCGACACAGCTGGTCGGCCTGAACAACCATAAAACCACTGAAATGCAAAGGCTAAATTTATTTAATTCCCTTGCTAACTGGAGGATCCTAAAGCAACACCAGGGTGGAGACACACAAGCGGGAACGCTGGCACCACTGAGCTCAGGTGATGGGTGGCAGGGCTGCTGTTGGCACCAATTTGTCAAGGGCCCTTTCTCTGGGGAGCTGGACAGGAGGGAAACCCTCTCATCTCAGCTAAGGCAAAGCAGCCAAGGCATCCCTAGACCAGCAGAAAGACAAGCTCTGCTCTCGCCACTTGTGAGATGCCAGAAGATGCAGAGTTGGAGCTGTGCTGGTCCTGCTCCACACAGGGGGCTCTCAGGGTTGCCAGGCTTTCCTGGGCCACCTGCCATCCTTCTCCTGCCTGCTGGAGTCATCCTGCTGGCTCAGGGTGCTCAGTCCCAGCAGAGGAGGTGGCAGGACCCACTGCCCAAGCACAGTGTGCTGGGCATCACTACAGTACAGTTCCTTCCAGCTCTATTCCTGTCCTGGGCAAGGCCAAACCAGTGTGACTCATGGTGCCATGGGATATGGGGGCAAAGACTAAAATTACCTGATCAGGTATCAGGGTTTCAGTTCTGAGGATGATAAATAAGTTGTTTGTGTTTACAGCCTGCCATCTGCTCAGGGAATTGCAGGGGTTGGGTTTGTTTGCGTGGTGGTTTCAGGGTTTGGGTGGGTTTTTCCTAAGATTTCTTTCTCTTGGCACAGAGAGGAGATGACTAAAGTACTGGCTAAATCTGCAGTGTTTTGCCTCTTTTTGATGGAAAATCCCCAACACACTGAGATGTTGTTATTGGTTTAGTCTGGACTCTGCCAACATTTCCTCTGGAGCAGCTGGCTATTCCACCAGTGTGGGAAGGGGTTAGCAGTGCCAGCACTCTGCTCTGCAGGGCAGCTCTGCCCTGGCACCAGTGGTGGCATTTCCCAGAGCCACCAGATGCAGAGTGAGTGACAGGGACACGCTCTGGCACAGAACATGACTGCACAGAAAGGCACTGTCAGCTGCAGATCCCTTGGGATGCTCTCACCTGGAGACCTGCAACCTCCCCTCCCAGGCACTGTGCCACGAGGACAACCCAGTGCCAGCACTGACCAGTGTGCAGTGGTGACCTGCTGGTTTGTTAACCCCAGGATTAGCACCTGGCAGGCCGAGCACCCCTGGGTGTCATTAAACCCAAATTAGAGCATTGTTTGTGCACATCCAGTTTCCAGCCACCTGATCCAAGAGAAGATGCCAAGAGCTTCCTGGTCCCCTTTCTCAGCTCCTGGCACAGAAGCAGGTCACATCCATGAGTGACTGGAAGCTCCTCTGGTCCTACACAACTGATGAGGCCCAGCACAGCCCAGATTCCATACTGCCTTTCTGCTCCTACTCAGCCCATCTCCCACCTCCTTGTGCTCTCCTGCATGTCCACCACGAGGTGCTTCTCATCTGTTCTTTAATCACCCTTCCCAAGCCCAGGAAAAACCAAAAACCACAAGACCCTACAGCCTGCAGGCCCTGCAAGTCCAGCTCCTCCTCCTGGGAGAACTGGGGGGTGGGATACAGGAGGGGGAGAGGTGGGGTCCAAGGGAGGATGTGGTGCACCCAGACCTCCTGCCAAGTGCCAAGTGCCACACAGAGAAGATATTTGGTGTTCCACAACCCCCCTGTAAACGGTGCCATTGAGGCTTGGTGAGGACAGAAGGCTCCTCTTTTGTTACCACTGAACAAAGATGTCTAAAGAGTTCAGGGCCCTGAGCAGGAAGGGGTATTAACCCAGGGAGGCAGTTTCTTGCCTTTCCAAAGATTTTCAGCCTGGCCCAAAAGTGAAATGTTAAGAGCCAGAAATGGCAGGGTTGGGTACAGGAGCTGCTCTGTTCTCCTGCAACACCAGGGAAGTCCAAAGTCCAGCCTGACTTTTTAGGATCTGGTTTCTGTTCCACCCTGCTGTGACACAGCCCGAGCCATCTCTCTAAAAAAGGTCCCAGGTGGGGAAATACCTATGAACCAAGCTTCCAACAGACATTTATTGGTTTGGGTTGAAATCAATGCACATGAAACAGCATCTCTCCCGTGTGCTGGGCACCTTTGCCATCACTTATAACAGAGGCCAGCACGCCCAGGCCAGCAGCCTGTCCCCTTCCCCATGAGCAGCCACTCAAACACAGCCCATAAACAAAGAGCAGAACAGGCCAGGACCTTTCCCATCCTCCCTGCCTGCCCAGCACTGCTCCACAGCCAAAGTCTGGGTCTGGGGGCCCTGCGGGGTGCAGGTAAGGATGAAGTAGGGGGGCAAGTTCTCAATCAAGGGCTCTTCCTTGCGTCTGGCTCCCTCTCAGCCCAGCCAAACACACTGGCTGAGTTACTCATCCAGCCCAGTAAGACCCTGGGAAGGCAAGGACAGTGAGAGGAGCCTTCTGGGTCTTGAGCCTTTGGTCTGTGTGGATCAAAGCAAACTCACATATCGTGACTGCAGAGTGACCAAGCAAAGCACCCACTGGACAGTTTCTGGAAGGGCAGGGAGGGAGTGGCCCAACCTGTCCCATCAGCTCCTGTATTGGGTGCTACAGATGATGGACAGCTCTGACAACAGCCCCAGGGGTGAACTGCACCTCACTCCACTGCACAGGGTGGGCAGAGCAGAGGGGAGCTCTCTGTGACTTAATTTGCCCCTGTGATCTACAGGTGCTCCCACCAGTCCACACTGAAGCCTCCCCCAAGCAAGGGGAGCACCAGAAGGTGGCAGGTGATGGTTGTAGGGGGCTGTAGGGCATTACCAACAAGCAGTACAAAGTAGGCAAGCTTCAAACAGAGAGAACTGAGGTAAACTCAGAGGTGACATGAACCAAAGCAGGGTCAAGTTTGCTGGATTCACGTTTGCAGGTGTCATGTTGGCCCATTTGGGCCTTGCACCCTGGTCTGTGAGTGGGCAGAGGGACTGGTTTAGTTTGTGGACTTCTCTGGCTGCTGGTAGGATCCATGTCTTGGGATGGAGGAGGTTGCTCAGGAAGGATAAGGGAGTGGAAACCCCTTTGCAAAGGTTAGAGAACAGATTTCACATACTGGGTTCTCTGGCAGTGCTGATGTATGAGGGAAGACTGAGAGAACTGGGTTGTTCAGCCTGGAAAAGAGAAGGTTTCAGGATGACCTAATTGTGGCCTTCCAGGACCTGAAAGAGCTAAAAGAAAGATGGAGAGACACTATTTATAAAAGCATGGAGTGACAGGGCAAGGGGCAATGGGTTCAAACTGACAGAGAATAGGGTTGGATTAGATATTAGGAAGAAATTCTTGGCTGTGAGGGTGGGGAGGCCCTGGCACAGGTTGCCCAGAGAAGCTGTGGCTGCCCCCATCCCTGGAAGTGTCCAAGGCCAGGTTGGATAGGGCTTGGAGCAACCTGGGCTGGTGGAAGATGTCCCTGCTCATGGCAGGGGGTGGAAAGAGATAACCTTTAAGGTCCCTTCCAACCCAAACCAGTCTGTGACTCAATGAGGAACTTGGACCTGCTTATGGCACTGCACTAGGAAGGATCCCACCTGCATTGTGCTTTGTAAGGGTGAATGTGCTGTCAGGTGCTATGGGAAAAGCCACAGGGTTGTGACCAACTCCCTGGCATGGTGACCAGTGACCCAGGCAGGAACACCATCTCATGACCCTGCAGCAAACTGAGCAGGGCTGAGCTGGGGGAGTCAGCATTTTGGCTGGAGGACAAGGCAGCAAGAGCTCCTGGGCAGCCACCCAAAGGGAAGGCCACCCCAGGCCACCCAGTGAAGCCACAGCAGCTACAGGGCAGAAGGGCAGGGTGGGAGGGGTGAGAGGCCTGCACACCAGGGAGAAGGAAAGCTCCTGTCCTACTGCCATGGGCACCAGCAGCTCTGGCTGTGCCACCTCAGCACAGGTGGATGCTCAGAAGGGACAAGGGGCTGAGCACTGGGTGACATCAGGGTGCCCTGAGTCTTTTGCACAGGACTGTGTCCAGCTCATGGTGCCAAGCCCAGAGGCACTGGCTGGGGCACTGGAGGGCAGGACTGAACACCCTCCTGGCACTGAGAGCATCTCACCTGCTGTCTCCACCTTCCCCTGCCATGCCTCCAGTCTCCTGCTGGGTTTTCCTTTCCTTCTGCATGTTGCCCTGTTCTGAATTTTGCTCCTGTTGTTCTCAGCTCCTCCTTTTTCTTGGAGCTGAGCACTGAATCCAGTGAGGTGAGGTGGGGAAAGCAACTCATCTGCCCGTAGTTGCACACGCCCGGTCTGTGCTCTGGTGGTAACTCCACGGGGAGCATCCCTGCACTCTGAAGGCTCCAGGAACTGCCCTGCACCTTTGCTTGGTTCTACCCAAAGCCACAGAGAACCTTGCAACAAAACCAAGGCAAACACAATGAAACCCAAACCAGAGACATTCCCCACCAAGAGTCCTCAGGAATCATCCCACAGACACTCAAAGGTTGTACAAGGCTAAGGATGAGACAATCATCTGTGGGCACAGCATGTCTTGGATGGTGGAGCACAGTGTTCTCCAAACATGTGCTTTTTTTAACCCTGTGTCCAGGGGAAGGACTGCACCGGTCCCTTGGTCGTGGCCTCTGCTGCTGCCGCCGCTGCACACGCCTTCCAAGCTGAGCTCGGGTGGGATGTGGTGTTTGTTGATGCCATGGAGACGTGGTACCACTGATGTGGTCACTAAACTTGCACCAGCCTGCTTGGGAAGCCCCTCTGGTGGTGGTGCTGCCATGGGAAGCATGGACAATGACAGGAGATGGAATCTCTTGGAGGAGAGCAGGTCGTGGACTCTGGCTGGAGACCTGGGGAGGAAAGGCAAGAGATGGGAAACCATGAGTTGCAACCATGGGATTCCCTTGGTGCCTCCCTTCTGCAATGGCCAGAGAGCCAACCCTGCCTTATAGAGCCCCTAATGCCAGCGAGAGGAACTGTTGGCTCTCAAGCCAGTGGCCACAGTGGAAGTCTCCAGTGATATTCAGGATGAGATGTATCCTCCCACAGAGGCTACAACCCACTGGACCTCCATTACCATCATCTTCCTCTCACACAGTCCCACGTGGGGTCAGTCTCAGTGCTCAGCTCTGGCCCTGTTCACACCCTCTGGGTGCAGCCCAGGTGTGGAGGAAGGTGGGAGCTCAGTGGGTGGATGGTTTCACCTCCTTGCCAGCTGCCCCGTGCTGAGCTGTAAGGTCTGCACTCAGATTTGTGGTGCTGGAGCACAGGATTTCACTTCTGCTGGAGTAAAGCACATCCTTACAGACATAACTTCATCTCAGCAGTGACTTGGTCGCCTGTGTCCTCAGCACACTCTGGCCGGAGTGAGCTCAGCTCATCAGGTCACCTGAGCTCCCCACCAAGCTGTTCAGGCCTTGCTTGACTTGTCTGCACCCCACAAACACCAATTTTGGCAGCACGTGCTGTGGAGCAGAGTCACACACAGGCATCAGAGCAGGGAGAAAGCTCAAGCCGGGCAGGGCTGGGGATCCAACCTGGCCACTTCAGCCTCCTCTGGGATGAGCTGGGAAGTCCATGCCAGGCTGCACTGGTAAGGAGCACCTCTCTATGAGTCTGCCACTCCCTGAGACTTCTACAGAGTGACCACTTTTAGAATGAGTTATGTCCTGAACCTCTGGCAAATGCACAGGGGCTGCCTGGTTGCCCCTCGCCAGCCAGAGGACAGTCCTGTGTCACGGGCACAGCCTGGCCCTGGGTGATCCCTGTTTCCAAAACACTGGCACATCTCTGTGCAGCTGAGCCAGGAAGGCCCAGCACAAGGAAGCCCCTCTTGCCCAGCCCAGCTTCCAGGATGTGCACACTCACCATGGTCATGTCCTGTGCCCAGGAGCTGGGACTGGCTACATGATGGAGCAGGTGAAGCCACAGCACTCCTTGAGCAGGGTGAGGCCTGTCTTGGTCATGTACGGTGCCGAGGTTTGCTGTCCCCTGGAAGTCATCTTCTTCTCTTTGACAGGAGCTGTGGAAAGAGGAATTGGGCCCTGCCTGGTGACCAGGGCACAGGCCCATGGCTGATTCTTAGAGCTCCTCTCAAGGCTCAGTTGTTGACCCTCCTCAGACCCAGCTGGGCACGAGCTCCTGCACCCAGGAGGCACAGTGCCATGTGTGCTTCCTGCGTGTCCACAGGGGTCCTGGGCTGGAAATGCCTCCCACTGCACTGGGAAGGTGATGGAGGCACAGGGAAAAGGGCGACCTGCCCTCAGAGGCTGTGGTGTCCATCCAGGATGTGACCTTAGGTAGTGGTGAGATGGGATGTAAAGAGCTGGTTGGAAAGGGTCAGATGAAGCCCATCAGCTATGAAAGGACACCTACCCATCCCCATTCTCACAGGACATGGTGGCTGGGAAATGCCAGGAGGGAAATGGAAGCACAACATCTGTACCAATTTGGTCTCCAGGTAAGCCAGCCCCAGGCTGAGCAATGAAATCTTGGATACAGGGTGCTTAGGAGAGGGGAGAAACTTCCAGGGAGGTTCAATTCAAGGAATGAAACTCATCAACCACCTACTTGCTTTCTGGAGGTAGCTTTTGGAGAGCTTACTTTGCAGGAACTCTGCCATTTCCTTGTCTTCTTCCCTTTCCCTGTGACAAAGAACTTGGTTACCATTCAGGAAAGGAACAGGAGCATCTGGGAAGGCAGGATGCAGATCAGAGGACAGACTGCACTGTCCCCGGTGCAAGGAATAAGTTGCACTGAGCTACCTGAGCCTCTCAAATTCCACGTCATCCACCAAGAAATCCCGTGTTTCCACCAGCTTGTGTATCTGCTGGACCAGCTCCTCTTCCCTCTGCTTCTCCTCGTTGGACTTCTCATTCTCTGCAGCACAGAGAACACATTTAACACACCAACAGGGCCCATCCCACCCCTGTCAACTCAGGAGCAGGTATGAGAGTGGGGGTAAAAGCCAAGGCAAAGGAAGCAGCTGGATCCAGGCACAGGCTGCTAAATAAGCAACAACCTCATCCCAAGCCACCCTGGCTGGAAGGAGACACGTCTGCTGTCATCAAACTTCTAAGTTTTAGCTTCTCCCCAAAACTTTCACAGGGCTGAGCACTGCAAGATGCATCTCTGAGCTCTGCAGAGCAGAGACAGGGCCCCTCAGGACGTGTTTAACGCCCATTTCCCAAGCCAGCACATCCAACCAGCCCCAGCTTGGCCCTGAGCTGGGCACAGGTCCAGAGATCTCAGAGTCAGGTCCTTCATGTGGCTGAGAAACCTGCTGGGGATTCAGGTGTGCAGGGAATTATCAGCACTGGGCAGATGCCCCGGGAACACTTCACACCTCCATTTATGTCACACACAGAGACATGAAAAACAATTCACCGGCTTTGTGGCCTTACTCCCTTGTTGAACATGCTCCTGGTGATCTCATCCTCTACATCTAACCTTCCAAAACACTGTCAGTGCCATTCCCACCCCAGCAACAATGATGGCCCCAAGTTTCTGCCAGGCTATTTTGAATCCATTGGCTTTGGTTGTCACCTGAACCCCCCAAAAGACCCACCTTGGGTGGGACCTACTCGTGCCACAGATCTTTGGGCAGAGAGTTAGTGAAGGCCTGGAAAACTCTCACATCACTATGAAATCCTGCCCTATTTGAATTTACAGAATCACAGAACAGTTAGGGTTGGAAGGGACCTCTGGAGGTCATCTAGTCCAACCCCTTATTTAGTTTGTAGCTGCATTTTAAAAGCCCAGCACGATGTTTCCGACTCATCAGAAGCTGCAATTGCTGTAAGCATCCCCAGTGAACAGAACCACACCTGACATGGATCTGGCCTTACATTTTCACTTGCTATAGGAGAGATGGATTGAACGAACAGGTTTAGCTCCCTATTGGTACACAGTGGTCAGTGGGATATGTGAGGATTGGAGCCATAGGGATAAGGAGTGGGAAATATCAATGGAGAGATCCCCAGCTGGGAACTCTGACTGTTTGTGCTGCAGCTATTTAATACCAAGCCTGAATTCAGCAGCCCAGCCCAGAATGGATCAATCTCCAGTCTTCCTTCAGCTAAATAAAAATACAGAGAAATTCACAGTATGGAGCGAGCCCTGTTGGCTGGGTCTCAGCAGTGACCTAAACAGAGCATTGATTAGTGGTTTGAAGTCTGCTGTGGATCAGTGGAGGTGCTGCTGCAGGGCTCTGGGAAGGAGGAACCCCTCAGAAACATCCCCAGCAAACAAAGGGTTTTCCTGTCACTGTGCTTTTGTGCACGGAATGAGCTTCCCAGCAGAGAAAGCTTCTCTGGGCTGGGGGCTGGGCCACCCCTGCTGGTCTTCCACCAGGAAGAGTTAATGCACAGTCACCTGGCCCTGGGCACTGTCTCTGTGCAGCTCCCACCTGCCTGGTGGGAACAGGAACACTTCCAAGTGGGTGCCACACAAATGGGAAACATCAGGCTGTGCACAGCATCTGGAGTTAATCAACAACCTGCAATCCCGAGGTGGGGCATGTCAGAGTTAACCTCCCACTGCACAAACACTGCACCTTTCTTCCAAACTTGCTGATGTCAGAGCCCACCATGACCACCACCCTCTCTGAATTACTGAAGGCACCTTGGCCTGGCGAGATTTCAAGCCCCAGGTCTGAATTCAACAGCCCAGCCCAGAATGGATCCAGTTTTCCTTCAGCTAAATAAAAATACAGAGACATTCACAGTATGGAGTGAGCCCTGTTGGCCTGGTGAGATTTCAAGCCCCAGGTCTGGCTGGGCTCTGAGTAAGCTCTGACGTGTGCAAATCTTTATCGGAACCGAGGACTGCTGTGACGCTCTCTCCAGAGCAGTGATGTGCAGGATTTTTCCAGCACGGTCTGATCTGAGTCAAGTAAGAAAGAAGACAAAAAGAGCATCCCTGATGCGAGCAGAATTTCTGCTTTCAGCTGAATCTGGGAGTGCTAAAAAGACATGAAATGAAAGACCGAAGCAGATGAAGGAAAGTCAGACACATTTCTCCAGCATCAGAAAAGGCCAATTTATCTCTGGTCCTGAGCCATGGTTTAGGTAAAGTCTTAGTTTAGGTGTTTGAATTAAAAGTCTACATGAGATTTGGGTCTGTTTTGCAAGCAGGTCCCATTTTTATGGCAGGATGCTCCCTTTCCTGTCTGAACTCCCTCTGGGTACAGGCAGGTTGTATTAAACTAATCAGGACCCGCATATTAAGCAGCATTTGGGCTCCAACTACGTGCTGAAGATTCACAAGCACACACAGCACAGCCCCACTGTGGCTTCAGACAGAGCCAGGATTTGCTGCCACTCTTGGCTTTGAGGTGACCTCGGGTACAGAACTGATGAGCTGAGGTGGTGCTTGGGGAAACAGGTCCAAATCCTCATGCTTGGGTGGGTACAAATAAGCAGGGATATGTCTCCCATCTGCCTCTGACAGCAGTCCTTGCTGAGGGCTGAGTGTGTCCCAGGAGGAGGCAGAGCCTTATGAGCAGGGATGGACACGGCCTGTGGGGAAGCCTTTCCTGCTCAGTCTCATTCCAACCTGGAGCTGTTTGGTGAGTGCTTTGATTTGAATACTGAGAGAGATCCTTTAGAGAAATGAGGTTTGGCCTCTCCTGGGCTGTGAAGGGACAAGGGTGGCTGTAGCTGTGACAGGACATGGAGGGTCACTGGTCATGGTAAGGGAGGTGACAAAGCAGCACTTCCTCCCAGCTGAAGTTTTCACACATATTGTCCTGGCCTGTTTGCCTCTTTTCAACATCCTGAGTGGTGAATCCACCTAAATCAGGGACATCACCAAGTCCCTTTGGCATGGCATCCCCCTAGCACCCATCCCACCCTGGCTGCAAGCAGGAACCCTTCCCTGGCAGCTGCTGCCCTCTGCCCCACCACTGACACACGTTCTGACATGGCCACAGCAAGAATTCACTCCTTTTCACACACTTAAGGCCTTTGAAGGCATCTCTCCTTCTTTTAACTCCAAAGGGGTCCCCCCATGGTGTGGTCAGACAATGTCCCCTGCTTGTCCTCTTGACTCATTTGGGATCCTCCCTGGTGCACTGTGTTGGGATTCACTCCCTCAGCTCCCCTTCTCCTCTACCAGACCTCAAATGACTTATTTCTCTGCTTTTCAGTTTTCTCTGCCCTTTATCCCAAGCCTGGACAAGGACTCCCTGGAAGTACTCCCACGGAGAATCTCAGGAGACACTCAGGGAGCCCCATTTGTGGATGCAGCAGCGTCTCTGGGAGCATCCTGGGGTGGGAGCTCCCAAAGAGCTTCTTGTATTTCATGGAACCTTTCTGCTGACTTCAGCAGGGTGCAGTTCTCTGAAGCTCCACAAAACCTTACCTGGCAGGGCTATGAGTTTTTGAAGCTCCTTTTTCAGCCGGCTGATTTCTTTACAAAGCTGAATGTCATCCATCCTGCAGGGACACAAATGAAACCACTCAGGGGAGAAGACTGGGAAAGGAAAGGTTCAAAACCCCCAGAGCAACACCCAACCAATGCTGGAAGGCAATGCATTCAGTGCCCGTGGTGGGGAGCATGGATTTACCAGCCTTCCCATGGGAAATGGGAGCCCACTTCACCCCAGAGCCACATGGGTTGGGTTGCTGGTTGTTGGCAAAGCAAAAGTTTCACTGCCCTAACGACAGTGAAGCCTTATTAAAACCTGGCACACCCACCAGGCAATAGCAGCTGTGTCTCTCCTTCTTCCAAAAAAATAATCCCCAAAAGGTAGAATCCAATAAAAAAATGGATGCCATATAAGAGGATCTGACCTTTTCATCCTGCCTTCCTGCAGAATTAAAAGAAGTTCAAAATATAACAGAGGGGGGAAATGTGCAAACTTTGCAGGTGTCTGCTGAGAAACAAGGTCATTTCAACAGGAGAAAAGGAGCCTGCTGAAGCCAAAGGCAATGGAAACATCTCTGGCTCAAACCCCACGACAGCAGCAAGGTGCTGATCAGGGTGGGCCCAACTCAAACATCAGCTGCTGGAGCCAAGCAGGGACACGTGGCCCTGCCTGAGCTGAGGCAGTTTGGATGTCTCAGGAGCACCACAGACACTCAGCCCCTTCCATGAGAACCAGCTCAAGTGCTGCTTGTGGCTTACTGGGGCTGGCAGAGGAACAAACTGATTTATTTTCAAAACTCTCATGCCTGTGCCCTTGGTAAAGCCAAGTGTCTCTGGGAAACCTGTGCCAGGGCCTCACAGCCCTCACAGGGAAAAATTCCTTCCTAACATCCCATCTAACCCTGACCTCTGACAGTTTGAAGCTGTTCCCCCTTGTCCTGTCACTCCAGGACCTCGGAAATAGTCTCTCTCCATCTTTCCTGTTGCTCCTTCAGGTCCTGGAAGGCCACAATCAGGTCACCCCAAAGCTTCTCCTCTCCAGGCTGAACAATCCCAACTCTCCCAGCCTTTCCTCCCAGCAGAGCTGCCCCATCCCTCTGATCCTCTTGGTGCCTCCTCTGGACTCTCTCCAGCAGCTCCATGTCCTCCCTGTGCTGTTCCCCAGAGCAGGATCTGTGTCTGCAGATAATCCATGACTGATGAGCTGGTGCCCCCCTGCCCAGCTGTGCCGCCGGTTCCTTTGGAAGTGGGAGTTCCTAAAAGCCTTGTCTGCATCTCCAACAGTCCTGCTGGTCCTTCCACTGAGTCACACTGTCCACCCTTCTGGGATGAGTCATATTTACCAGAGCTGCCTGAAGATGCAGCTTTGTCAGCTGAGCTGAGGACACCAAAAAATGGAAGGGAAAATAAACAATCTCACAGAGAGGAACCCTGTGAGATGTTGCTGTGGGAGGGGATCAGCTCAGGTGAAGGAGAGGGCTCCCTCTTGGCTCTGTCACACTTTTGCTCCAGCTGACAGAGTTTTCCCTGGTCTGCATTCCACACTGAACGGGTCCAGCAGTGCCAGTGCTCGGGAGCTGCACGTGGAGAGCAGGGAGGGCTGTTTGTCCTCTCCTCGGGTCCTGTGGTGGCTGAGCCCTGAACTTGGACAAAGAGAACCAGCTCTGCATGGGACACAGGGATAGCAGGCTGATTGCTGGTGATAGGCTTATTGAAACGAAAAATTAAAATGAAATTAAACAGTCAAATGAGAGCTGAAATATTATTACGTTTAAATTGGAAATTAATTCTGGGAAAACCGATAGTGAGAATAATAAATGGGCAATAATAAAAACTCTCATTTCAGTAAAACTTGGGAGGGATTGCAGGGAGAAGCACCCAGAAAGCTGCTGCTAGAGCTGGGATTGCTTCTACCAACAGTTTTCACACCTATTGCAGCACCAGCCAGAGCCAGGGTACCCCTGCCTGGTCCCAGGGAGCAGGTCAGGGCACTGAGGAGGGTGGGTGCAGAGCTGAATCTCCCACAGGCATTTCAGACCTTTCCTTTTGCCCTATAAAAGGAGAAATTTTGGGAGCTTCTTTGTTTTCCAGAGCACAGACACCTCAGAAGTGCTGGAACATTTTAGTTTGACATTTCCAACAAGGAGAAAACACTGATTGCTATCGACTGACCTGTTTGGCAGCACACCCTGGGAAATGTCCACCTCCCCAGGGCCTACAGTCCAACCACCCTGAACATCACACTTTTTCCCCACTGGGGAAGAAAAGAAGCCCTTGCAGCCCCAGTTCCCCATCCTTTTAAACCTTGTCCTGCAGAACACAGGGGTCTGGGATCTCCCTTCTCCAGCCCTCAGCCTTCCCTGCCCCACAGATCCACACTCCTCCTCACTCCTGCACCTCACAGAGCTGATGCTCGAGTTCCCACAGCACTCCCAAAACACCCAGACACACAATCCCAGCACTTCCAAACTCCCAAGGGATCACTTTTGCAGCCATGCCCACCCCAGCATGTGGTTTCTGCAGGTGATCTCCCTTCGTTTTCCAAGTGCAAGGCAAAGAGCAAAACAAACAAAGGGACAAGAAAGAACAAGATCTGTGAGCTTTGACAGCACCGGAGAGAATCAGGCACCAGTTGCCATGGGAGGCATTGAAAAACTACACTCTTTATGAATTCCAAAAATCCTTTTCAACGTGTTCAGGGGGAACTGTGCCTCAAAGAGGCCACTGTTCCAAATCAGCCACAGTCCAGCTCACAGCTTCCCCACACACTGGATTTACACAGGCATTTCCAGGCTTTGGTGACCCCTGCAGTGCAGGTACCACTGAGGAACCAGACACATCAAAAAAACCCCAGCACATCAAGTGCTATAGCCCAGGAAATATGATCTTTGCCATTACCAGTACAAAAATTCCAGGTTTCTATTGGCCTGGCAGCATGGGATCTGAAGACTGGGCTGACTACAGCAATTCAGTGGTATTAAAAAGCTTAATCAACACAAACTTGATAGTTTTGATGAGTCCTTTTCCTTTCAAACCATAAAATCCCCTGGTATACCCAGGAAAAATGTTCTTTAACTCTCCTGTACCTTTATGTTGCAGTTGGTTTAGTGCTGCTGCAACACAGTGGGTATTTGATTGCCTTAAATCTGAAAGGCCTAGAGATTTTTTTACCCACAAACTGCTTTGATTATTGAAGTGAACCATGGAGAAAACCCTTCCCTCCTCACTGGGCTGCAAAGGCTGTGCTGAGAGTGGAGATGCAGGATGCAGGGTGGAGATGCAGGATCCAGGGTGGCACCAGGCACTGATGCTGGTCCAATCCTGGTGTGTCCCAGTGATCCCAGGGGCCAGGGGATGGAGGAGGAAAGGGGAAGTTGGGAGGATGTGCAATCCTTCAGTGTGGAAAGATAAACTGTGTTCATGTGGCTGTTCAGCAGCTGCAGATCTTCATGCTGAGGCAAAGTCACATCTCCAAAGAGCAGCAACAAACCACCAGCCTCAGGTCCCTTCCCAATCCCAGCCCAAGAGCCTCACACTGAGGAAGAGTATGGACCCACTGGGAACATGGGGTGCTGGTGGTTGAGTATGGAAACATTTGTGTGGCTAAATCCAAGTGATACACTCTGTTTGCACAGAGTCAGGCTGTATCAGACCTTCACAGCATCAGTGGCAGCTTTATAACCCATTAAAGCCCCTCCTGAGGGCGAGGCCAGAGCAGTGGGAGAGGCTGAGCTTCCCGGTGGAAAACAAGGTGGAAAGCAACCTGAGCTCTGCCCACCCCTGGGGATGATCTGCTTGACTGGGCAGGAGAAGATGCTGGGATTCCCCTGGGAATGGGGCACAGTGCCAGGGCAGGGCAGGTACTCACATGTACCGCAGCTCCGACTCCCTCCTCACCAGGATCTCCCTGATCCTCTCGATTTTGAAGAGCTCTCCTTCGATGTCGTCGATGGTGGTGGTGGAGTCGGCCATGGAAACGATCTCATCCTCTGCCAATGGAACAGGAGCCGTGTCAGTCAGCAGGAGATGCCAGGTGGGTGCTGAGGCCAACAGGGACCACGGGGGGTTGGAGCCTCCGAAACCAGCATCACCTCACCTGCTTCGTGCTGGCCTTGCACACCCCGCTCACACCAGTGCTGTGCCCGGCTCTGTGCTGCTGAGAGACCCCCACATTTCCAGAGTTTCCCCCTCTCTGGACAGCAGGAGGCCAAGGGAGGTAAAAACTGCTGGAAGGAAGGACAGGAATGCCTCTTTTTCCAGAACCATGTGAGCTTCACCCACCTCAGCACAGAGCCATGAGCCTGTGTGTGCACCCTTCTCCAGCGTGTGTCAGGAACAAATTCTGGACTCACACAGCACAGAGCTAAGGAATCATGGACATGAAAGTCCTTCAGCTGCTCCCCCTCCATCACAGGCTGGTTGAAGTCCCCCCATGCTCCCCAGTTCACCAGGGGAAGAGCCCTCATGGCACCCAGCAGGCCAGTTCAGCTTCCTCGACCTCTGGAGTGCTGAGCCATCACCTCTGTAACCCACTTGGGGAAACTGAGGCAGGGAAAGGGGATGTCCCTTCCTGAGGGCAAGAGGTAAGAATTCACAGCAAAATGCAGACAAGAAGGGGCTGTAACTTGTGTTTTAGAAGGATGGACAGGATGAAAGCCCAGCAACCCCCATCCATGGCCCTGACCACCAGCTCTGCCTCTCCCTGCCAATGACTTACACCCAGATGTTCCACTGTTTGCACAAGGTTGTCCCCCAGGCTTACACGTGGATGCTGTGTGGATTCACACAGTGCCTGTGGATCCCACAGTGACTCCCAGACCATTTCATGGGAATGTCTCCCAGGCCAGCTGCCACCTCCCAGCCTGGTCTGGCTCTCAGAGACACGACACTGAGCTTGTTATCAGTGACAGGCAGCAGCACATTCATCACACACAGGTTAATCTGGCTCTCCTGGGATGTGCTACAGCAAAGCCAGACTGTGAGAAAACATCCAAAATAACTCATGTATCTTTCTTTGAATCTTCACAGGGTCTTCCTGCAGCCCTGGGACTTTCCCCATGCAGGGAAAGGGGAAAGCACAGCCATGAAGCACCAGCTCTGGGAACAGCATTTTCCAGGCAGGTGATGTTTGGTGTGGTCTGGGCATTCCAAACAGGACCCAGGCCAGTGCTAAGGGTTATAGGGTAGCCAGGGACCAGCATTAAGGCACAAAACCAAACACTTCAGTCACTGGTCCTCTACCCATCATGTAAAACTACTTGGGAAATTACTCCCATAGTGAGGCATATTTCCAAGGCTGCCAGCAGGGAAGGTTTACTGGGAAAATATGACTGTTTTGGGTCAGTGTGACTGGTTTGTAGAACAATTTTCTCCTGTTTCTGTCTTAAAAACTCATGAGGATTTCTTGGAGATTATGTCCCTTTTCCCCTAGACACAAAGGTCATGTTCAGCTTATGTCAGTGTGGGAATCCTCCATCACTCCCTGTCCTAAACCATCAGGACACTCTCAGGAGCCAGCACTTGCTCAGGACAGAAGGATGAATCCCTGGGCTGGACAGAGTGTGGGATTGGATGCACTGCTCTCCATCAGCTCTTGCTCAAAGGCTCTGCTACAAATGAGCACAAACCCCCTCCCTTTGCCTTGTTTCCATGGGCCTGATGTGGGTTGCTAAGGGACCGGCCTGTGGTTGCTACAGGATCAGGATGTGGTTGCTAGGGGACCAGAGTGCGGTTGCCAGGGGACCAGGATGCAGAAGTCCCTCGTCCCAAGCATCCTGATGCTCTGCCACCCCAGAGCTCCTCTCACCTGGGATATTTGGCTGCACCTGCCCCCGGCACTGCACCAGGGACAGGTGACAGATGCTGGCAGGTGACCCACGCGAAGGTGCAGATGGCACAGCTGCCACGTGCCTGTAGGCAGCCACTCCCTGGGCTTGTACTCCAGCCCAGCTCTAGACCTGTCACAGAAAAGCTGCATTTCTCTGTGTCACTTCTGTGACCAGGCTGAGATGACAGGGCTGCTGGTTGTACAGATGTGCCAGTAAACACAGGTATGAGCTCACTGCAGCCTCCACTAGCCAAGGACAAAGCCAACCAGCCCCAGGAGCATGGGGATGGCTCTGGGGGAGAGAGGACTGTCACTTCTGGCCTGTCTGGGTGGGTGAATAACCCAGAACATCTTTGATCACTGCTGGCAGAATCATTGGGCTGAGATTATCAGCCAGCTGTTCCCCAGGGGGTGAGTGAGGGTTTGAAACAGCTGTCAGCATCTCTTCTTCTCCCTTCTCATCCCAGAATCTCATTAGCAGAACCATCCCAGACCTGGAAAGGTGAATCCTTGCCTGTGGACGTGAAGGGAGGAGGTGACCTGGCTGGGATGGGGGAGGTGGCAGTGCTGGGTACAAAGGAGATGGCAGTGCTGGGTTGGAAGGAGGTGCTGGACAAGGAGGAGGTGGCAGGGCTGGGATGGCAGGAGGTGGCAGGGCTGGGATGGCAGGAGGTGGCAGGGCTGGGATGGCAGGAGGTGGCAGTGCCGAATTGGCAGGAGGTGGCAGTGCTGGGTTGGCAGGAGGTGGCAGTGCTGGGTTGGAAGGAGGTGCTGGACAAGGAGGAGGTGGCAGGGCTGGGATGGCAGGAGGTGGCAAGGCTGGGATGGCAGGAGGTGGCAGGGCTGGGTTGGCAGGAGGTGGCAGGCTGGGTTGGCTGGGTTGGTAGGAGGTGGCAGGGCTGGGTTGCTTTCCCCTGTCCGCAGCAGGAGCCTGGGATGTAATTCCAGTCCATAGGCACTGCCCACAAGAGCAAAAAAGCTCCTCACTCTGCTCTGGGTGGTTTTCCCATCAGAGCCAGGGAACATGGTGTGGCTGGGACCACCCTGCTCTCACACACTCCCCCAAAGTCCCCTTTCTGTTGGACACTTCCCAGCAGCCTCCTGTTGCAGGCCCAGAGTGTCCTGTGCAATGGGGGCAGTGGGCAGGTTGGCACAGCACAGCAGAGCAGGGGCTGCAGGACTCGAGCTGGAAGCTCTCAGCCCTCAGCTGTGCCTTCAGGTGCTGTGGTTGGGTCATGGCACTCTGCATCCCTCAGGCATTCCAGGGAACTGCTCACCAAAGCAGTAAGTCTTGGATGAGAAGTCCTGGGACTACTGTCATGTGCCTGGAGTTGCTCAATCCAGGGCAGAAGCAGAGGGAGGGCAGTGCCAGGAGAACGTTCCTGCAAAATGAAGCCCACGAACCCAGGGAGGGAGCACCTGGACAAGGGGACACGGAGCTACACCTCTACACCTCTGCATCATAACCACCCACCAAAACCATCCATGAGAAAACAGTAAATCCATACAGGTGACTGACAGGCAGCTGACAGGATGGGAAGATAAATCTGTTGGTGTAGATTCCTTCCATCTGCCCAGGACCACAGGTCATCATGCCAAGATCTGAATATCTGAGAGAGGACAGAGGATGGAGCACAGAACAGAGGGGGAGAGGCTGAGAGAGGAAGGCTGAGGGCTGTTCAGACACTGGAAAAGGGATCAGAGAGGTTGTGGCATTTCCATCTTTGGTCCAAGATAACTCCTGGACAAGGCTATGAGCAACGTGATCTACCAAGTCTGCTCTGAGCAACAGGTTGAACTCAGTATCTCCAGAGGTCTCCTCCAATCCAATTTCCTCTGATTCCATGTAATGAGATTGATGACAATTGATTTTTGATGGACATGATTGGAATATGCATGAATCTTCCCTGCTGGCTCAGGACATGTTTTCTCCAGGCAGACAAGGAGTGATGGTGAGTTCCTGAACCTCAGCACTGCAGGCTGGAAGGTCACAGCTGTTCTGACAAAGGGCCCTGTGTCCCCACAGACCTGTGCAAAGGCAGCAACACATCCAGCAGTTGCAAAGGTACAGACCCTGGGAGCTCCTGTGGGATTAAATTCCAGGCAGCTGGTGAAAAGATCTCACTGGAGATGGTTTTGCCAAACCTGGGAATGGGTTTCTTACACCAGGTTTCTTCTCCTGCCCAAGGTAGGATGTTTATTAAAGCTGTGATCAAGCTCACAGTCCGAGTCTCCCTTTGGGGATGGCCCCATGTGTGGCCCAGGGGTCCCTTTGGTCCCACAGCTGCACACACAGTAGCACAGCCACACACAGAAATCAACCCCACACTGCCCGAGCTGAAAGACTCCCCAGCTGGCACTATTTCAACCTGGCAAGCCAAGGAGGGGGAAAAAGCTTTGATTGAAACTCAGAGATGCTCTAATCATCACACACGGCCGGGGGGGTGGCTCCATTAATGAGCAGTATAATAGCCAGAGACTTCCACTCCATATGGCTTTGGTGAAAACATTTAGACAGGCAGCAGCGAGCCTGAGATGAGTCACAGCAACAACCAGCGCAGGGTTGAGTTTCAAGCAATCTGCTTCATGATTAAAGTTGGATGATGGATTGACAGTCCCCTGTAGAGGGGTCAGAGCTCTTCACAGGGGCTCCATCCCCAGAACTCTGTAACTCAGCCCTGTGATTTCCTCTGCTCCTGAAAGCAGCATGGGCAGGGGGCATTCAGCCTCTCAAAATCAGCCCTTACTGCACAAACCTGACAATGGGAGTGATGATGACGCAGGGCCCAGCTCTGGGCAGCCTTGTCAGAGGGGGTGCTCTGCCCACCACCACCCTGCCTGCCAGGATGGACATGAGCCTCCAGGTCTGCCAATGTATGGCCCAGCACACCAGTCCTGAGGACAAGACCATGCTCAGATAGGAGAGGCCACAGCTGCTGGCAGCCTGCAAACCATTGCACTGCTTCCCTGCCAGCATTCCCTCTAGTAAACCAGGGAGAAATGTGCTGCCCCGGCCCATTGCAGCCGGGGGGGGGGGTTGTCTGGCTGTGTTTGTGCAGCCCCTGGCACAGCCAGCACCAGTGGGGCCATGTTAGACATAAAAAGGACCAGAATTCACAGGTGAGGTACCTTGTGAGGACTTATGGGGGTATCACTAAGGTGTAGCCCCTGTGCAACACCCCACTGCTGTAGGTAACTCTCCAGGGTCACCTCCCAAGCACAAGCAGGGCAAGAGGCTGTTTGTGCTCAGGGTTTCACAGGTTTGGCCTGATGTTTCCTGGTTGGGAGCAAACAGCAGGGCAGCATTCAAACAGCAGACACTGACTGTTGCCATGTTCTCACCCATCACAAGGGTCCCTGGGAGCTGGGAGTTCACAGAACTGCACTGAACCAGCAAATACTGCAGCCACCACAGCCCTGCTTACAGGCACCCGAGGAGGGGGGTGCCCGGGCCATACCCAGCACCCTGAGTCCAGCACCACCAGTCCCAGGACCACCCTGATGGCACCCAGCTGCTGGGAGCAGAGGATCCAAGTGATGGAAGTGCTCCTATTCCCCAAGGATCTATGTTTCTAATAGACTGTGAAGGTTTGGGGAGGATACTGTGCTGAAAAGCAAAAAGGAGAAGGACTAAAACTTCAAACAGACCACCGAGGAGCTGAGCAGCTTCACAGGCACCACACACACACCCCTGCCAAGCAGTACCGAGCAGGAATTTGCTCCATCCCTCCTTCCCTGCCTTTCCAGCTGCCTGTCTCCGGCCCTTTGGGTACAAGGGGCTAAGGAGTAGCAGAAAGGAATAGGGAAGGGGAGAGGTCGCAGAGACGTCATAGCAGAGGGATTGCAGGCGCATCTCCTCCTCGCAGCCCAGCACTTCGACCCTTCCTGCCACCGCAAGGTCGGGGACTCTGCACAGGGCAATCCCCTTGGTTGGCATCCCCCCTCTTCTCACCCCGTGTCGTACTGGAGGAACAGGTCAGAGAGGGGGGAAAGCGGTGAAGGACAGGGCGGGCACCCCAGTCTCCCTGTCACAGCGTTCCCAGCACAGCGGCTCAGTGTCTGCCCGGGCAGCAGCAGCGGGATGGCGGGATGCGACCCTCCTCCTCCGCCCGGTGCGTGCCCTCCAGCCACCCCTCCACCCAGTCCCTTCTCTCCGTCCTTTCTCTCCCCTAGACACCCCTTCCCTCCCTCCATTCCCGCTTCCGTCCATCTCTCCCATTCATCCATTCATCCATCCATTCATCCATCCATCCCTCCCTCCCTCTCTTCCGTCCATCCTTCTCCTCCCGCCCCACTCCCGAGGTGCCGGGAGCGGTCTGGGGAGCACCTGCGGGGCTCCTTTTGGTGGGTGAAGCCGCCGGTTCCCCGCCAGCTCTCAGGGCTCGGGTGTCGGGAGGGTCCCGGAGCCGCCGGGGGATTTGTGGGGGGGAAGTTCGGCTCTGGCCGTGCCCTGCCCGTCCCGGTCCCGCCGCGCTCACCTGGCCCCGCGGGCGGCCACCGGGTGGACTCCATGGATCCGTACCGGGGAGGGGTCCGGCTCCCCTCCATCCGCAGCCCAGCCCGCTGTGCCTCCTTCGGGGCGGGGGCTCCGGCCGCTCCCCCCGCTCCGCTCCGGCCGCTCCCACCGCTCCGCTCCCGCTGATCCCACCGCTCCGCTCCAGCCGCTCCCACCGCTCCGCTCCCGCTGATCCCACCGCTCCGCTCCCGCTGATCCCACCGCTCCCCTCCGCCGGGGCGGGGGCTCCCCCCGCTCCCACCGCTCCGCTCCCCCCGATCCCACCGCTCCCCTCCGCCGAGGCGGGGGCTCCCCCCGATCCCACCGCTCCGCTCCCCCGATCCCACCGCTCCCCTCCGCCGGGGCGGGGGCTCCCCCCGATCCCACCGCTCCGCTCCCCCCGATCCCACCGCTCCGCTCCGCCGGGGCGGGGGCTCCGCTCTCTGCCGGCAGCCCCCGCGCCCCCGCCCGCTCCCCGCAGCCTCACCCGGGAGATCCCCCGGGGCTCGTCCCCACCCCAAACCCAGACCCACCCAAAAACCGCAGCATGAGCAGCACGGGCAGTACCAGCGGCCCCGCGGGTGGGGGCCCGGGGGGCGGCCGGGGGCACTCCCCTCGTCCCGGGCACTGAAGGTGATCAGGCTCTGCAGAGCAGTGTGGGACTCGGGGGTGCTGAGGATGAGGCTTTTCCTATGGAAAAGCCCAACGGCAAGTGTTTGAAGAACGTTCCAAGGTACGTGTTGGTCTGGAATCCTAAGGCTGGCTGGGAGCACGCTGACAACACCCACCTCAGCGAGGGTCTTGGTGATCTTCTCTCTCCAGCCGGGATCTCCTGTGGGACACAGCAGTGCCCAGTCCCGCTGGCCTGAAGGCTCATCCCTGCAAACTGGTGCAGAGAAGGTGGGGATGGGGAGTGGATGTAAACCCTTCTGCTCGCAGGGTTTTGTGATCAGCAGAAGCCCTTCCTGTGCTGAGGATTCACACCCATGGACACAAACCTCACCACCACTTTCCCCAAAATACACAGCCCTCTGCTAGGACACGTTTCTCTGCTAGGATGTGCC